TCCTGCTGCACAGTACTACAACATCAAGGTAAAAATTACTTATACTAGTGTAATTTTATCCCATTTCTAATACAAACTGCTTTTTATAATGATGCGGTGCATCTGCAGTAAAGACTTGAACTGCTGGAGCTGTATCAATTGTTAAAATCCCAACACAGATAAATGTTGCCAGTTCCAGGTTCTTCAGTTCACATGCATGGTAGACTCTTGGGAGAGGCTGGAAGTGCTGCAAAACAAGAGTTTTTAAACTTTAATATATGATATGGTGGGTTGTCTAAAATCAATCTTTTCAGCTGCTGTCATCTGAAGGGAATTCAGTCCTCCCTTTTAAAGTTTTAAACAGAATCATAATGGTAGTAAATTGGCTCTCAATTCTCAACAGCCAACTACTGTTAAACTGGGCTGATAAATTGGAGGGATTTTTGTAATGCATGTTGGGGATCTAGATGAGCTTTGGAAATTTATTTGAGGTTTGCTTAATTGTTTATTAAATGCCTGACCTTTTGCGTGATCTCTTACCAGAAAATTGTTGGGCAAGTTACAGCAGATTACAATCGAGAGCAGCTGTGGCTTGCTAATGAAAACTTGATTGTTCAGCTACAAGCCCAAGCAAGGGGATTCCTCATTAGAAAAAGTTATAAGGAGAGAAAAACTTACCTCCAAAATCAGGAGCCATCTGTCATCAAAATACAGGTACTGCTGTGCACTAATAGAAATCAGTTACTTTTAGTGTACTGCTAGCTTCTTGCATGACAAACTAAATGCCTCTTTTTGTCTGCTGCTAATGCAGAACAAATATCTTCATGTTCTTGATTGGCAAAACTGAATTTATTGGGTAAATATGTCCCTGTCTTCTCTGAAAGAAAGGAATATTGTTTTTAAAATGGCAAAACTCCAAATTTTTATAGTGACTATAGGTTGTATACAGTTCTAGCATATAATCTAATTGGAGATGCCCAGTAACACCTGTAACTAGCTGCTTTCTCTGTTCTGGTTTGGTTGGGCTATTGTAGTACTAGGGGAGTTGGGGCAAGTTGGAAAATGCTAGTTAAATACTTAAGCATTAGTGTTCTGCCAAGGAATGGTTCACTCAAGAAATACATTCCTTTCTCTGCTCTCCCCAAGTCCAAAGTTCTCTGCTTACTTTGTGAAGTTGTTGGTCATAGGGAGTGGCTGTGTTAACAATATTGCCTGATTCCAAGAGCATTAGCTGGATTTTTGCATGTGTGTACTCTGAAAGGGGTTCAAAGGAAGCTTCTGGTTTTGTTTTCTTTTACTAAGCAAATTATGAACTTGGATGACTTGCAGTTTTTTTTATAAACATTTTGCCATGTTCCTGTATATACTGAACTTGGTCAATAATTTTAAATTCTTTACCAGTAAAGTATAGGGTTTTTTGGTTGGTTGGTGGGGGTTTTTTAAGTCACTTTCTAAATATGCATGCCTATAGCAGGGAATTAAAGCTTACTTTTTGTGTTACTTTGGCCACTATAAGCAATGTGTTATGGTAATTCTACAGCTATTTGAAATAATTGTACTAGGTGACCTAGTAAAAAATTATATTCAGTTTTGAGTGGCTTATCAAAACATGGTTTTACAGTTGCTATAATCAGAAAAAAAAACAGAGGGAAAGAATGAGGGAAATAGCTGTGAAAATTGCACTCGCATGAGATGGATATTAGCACTTAATGGCCAGAACCCTCACCATGCCTAGTTGATGGTCTCCAATAGGTAACCCAAGCTCAAGTAGACAGGGGATGCATCTACATGTGCATTTGATCCAGGATCAGTTTACTTGAGAGTAAACACTCCTGGGCAGGCATCTACACATGCAGAGAAGCTGGAGCAGATGGCAGGAAACTGGGCCCCTGCTGCCACCTTGGGGAGCTCTAGGTTCTTCCTGGGTGCTAGCCCAGGGGATGGCAGGGAGCATTGGGCCATGAGACGGCTGTCTCGTGGCCAGGGCTGGGACATAACAATCTGCCCCCAGGGATTGCCTGCTGCTGAAGCAGGGCCAATGTCCCCCTGTCCTGGCAACAGGGAGCTCCTGGCTCTAGGTCTCCTATCGGGGGCAGGGGACTTGGAAACTGCTGTAGGGGAGGGGTAGGTCCCAGCCCCCTGTCCTAATCTGTTGGTGGGGCAGCTAGCTGCTAGCTCGCTGCTAGCTACCCCCAGCAGATTGGGGCAGGGGGCTGGGACCTACCCCTCCCCTGCAGCTCTTTCCAAGCCCTGTGCCTTGATCACTTCATCTGGGACAGTTTCCAGCCCCCAGTCTGGTCTGCGAGCATGGAGCAGGGTGGGGAACAGGCAGGGGAAGAAGATGGGGAGCTTGTTCCTTGCTGTCTGAGCGTGGAGCTCGGTAGGCAACAAGCTGGGGAGCTTGTTCCCCAGTCAGCTCCGCAAGCCCAGAGCTGGCTGGGGAATTTGTTTCCCTAGCTTGCTCCTCACCCAGCTCTATGCTCATGGAGCTGAGTGAGGAAGAAGCTCCCTAGCCTGTTCCCCACCTAACTCTGCAGTCATGGAGCTGGGCAGGGAGCAGGCACTCCAGCCACTGCCATCAGGGAGCTCTCGGTGCCAGCTCCAGACCGCAGGGCAGGCTCTGGAAGACCCTTATTTCCCAGTGCCAGCACCACGGTTGTGGAGATTAAGGTTCTCCCAGTGCCCCATTCCCCAACTTGTGATCTTGGACTTGGGAGGGCTTGGAGATCCCAGCTGCTGGGGCAGAAGGATGTAATCCCTGCCCGGGCTCTAGTGGCAGAGCCTGCCTTAACAGCTGGTAGCTCCCAGGGGCAGAGAGCAATCTCTTGCCCCCCATAGATAGCTGACTGGGAGCAGATTTGCTCCCACTCGGGTGTCTACACAAGCACTACTGTGCCATTACCAATTGAAAGTAAATTTACTATTTATAAGTTTGCTACCTGGAAATGCTTGTGTTTAGTGAGGTTTTACTTCATAGTAAAAGTGCATGTGTAGATGCACATGCTGACTGCATGGTAAGCTACGCTACTGCTCAATTAAGCATCTCATGTAGACATGCCCAGGGAGATGATAGATGATGATATCATGAGGTAGATCAGAAGTAAAGGCAAGTTGAGATGAAAATAAGTTGGTATGTAGGAGGTCAATTGGCAAGGGCTTTAAAGATGAAAATAAGACTTTGTGTGGGAGAGAAGGGGGAGCCAAGTGAAAGAATTTCAAAGGGTGCTGCAGTCAGAGTTTGACAGAACAATGGTCTATATAGAGCCACTAATGAGAGCCTTAGATGAGGTGTTAGGAGAACAGGGAAAGGGAGTAGTAGTTGTGACCAGTGCTGGTAGAAGAATAATCTGCCATATTTACTCGACTCTAAGACAACCCCCCAATAATTAGATTCTATACATGGAATTTATTATAATGCTTCATGTATAGAATCTAATTATTGGAGGATCATCTTGAACTTATCCTCCCCACTGCTGCAAGGGGGCAGGCAGTGAGGGGGGCTTCAGTTCCCCCTCTGCCCCCCCTCATCCCATCCCCCCCTTACTCTTGTTCTGTGCTGGCAGGCTCCATCCTCGTTCTAGCCTCGGCCATTGAGCACAGCCCCAGCCCAGCTCCCATAGCAGCCATGTGTGGGCTGTGCACTGCTGCCATGGGGTCATGCCCAGTGCTGTGGTCTGCAGTGTGCATTGAACCTGCTAGCACAGAGCAAGAATGTGGAGAAAGAGGGATAGGCTGAGAAGCAGAGGTTGTGTGGGGAGAGGGACAAGATTGGGAGAGGAGGGGGTGATGCAGGGAGGAACAATAGGGTGCAGAGATGGTAGGGGGTGGGGGACAGGCAGGAGCTACAGCTATGGCCCCGACCCGGGGTAGGGGCTGGAGACACAGCTGCAGCAGGTGCTTGCTTCCCCACCACTCGTACTCCATTCTAAGACGAGGGGCTTTTTCCTCCGTGGTAAATGGTATGGGGAACCCTCGTCTTAGTATCAAGTTGGTGCAGTAGCTGAGCCACAGCAGCGTAGGCAGAGAACAGAGTGACTCTTGGAAGAGAAGACAAGATTAGGAATCGGCATGGTCAGGTGGGCCCATAGAATATATAGTCAACCATGACATGGGTGTTACAGGCCTGAGTGACAAGGTGTTGGCAATGTCACCAGTGGCAGAGAACAGAGTTGGGATGCTGTGGGAGAGAAGGAAGTTATTGCACCATAAAGTTGGCATTAAGTTGATGGCCAGCAATGCTGAGCTTCCTCAGAACAGGGAGATAGATGTAGATCATCACTCAGCCAAAAGGACAAATGTTTGATGCCATAGAACAGATGTGGGCACTAAAGGCATGTAAAGGAATGCATGCCTGCCTGCCTTCTCTTCCTCTTCATGTTAACAGCAGTATTTGTGTAGAACATATGTTGGTTATATTAATATATGCAGATTTAGATTGTTGGTCATAATAAGCCTCCTGCCTCCTAAAAATAGGCTTTCTGGAAGGGACACAAGCAAAGGAAGAGCTACACCAACAGATTACAGGTGCTTAAAGGAGACATTGCTGCTATTATCAAGGTAAGCTATTTGTTCGTGAACAATGAAAAAGGGGTCAGTGGTATGGAAGATGCTTTCTTATAACATGGGTCCCCCAATTCTTGTAAGTCATGTGAGTCCAGGGGGGAAGTTCTGCGGTGGTGTAAGCTCTTCATTCTAGTGAGGTTTTTGGTTGGCCTAGAACAGTGGTTCTCAACACTTTTAGACTTGAAGCATCCTTGGATAAAGTCATGGTACCCCCAAATAGATCTGAGGCACCTCTCAAGAATTGCCAGCTCTTAGTTTTCACTTTTTTCTTTTTTTGACTACAGAAAAATAACGGAGAAATTCTTCTGTTGCAGAGAACTCAGACCACAACAGGTCACAGTATTTAAAACACTATTGATTCCTGTTTGGAATCTCTGGGTTTATCTTGTGATTCATTTTTGCACACCTAACAGTGTGAACATTGTGTGGCACCCTGGTTGAGAGCCACTGGCTTAGAGCATTTTTTTTTTTTTCTAATGACAGCAACCTAAAATCCAAGAAGATTGCCAATTGGATGTTTAAATATTCCATTCCATAGCAAATTCTGTTCTTGTGTGCTCGTAGGGGAGAGCTGCTTCTTGAGACAGGAAATGAGAGAACATAATATTATGAAATTTTTTTAAAATTGGCAAACCTGAGCCAGTCACTGTTAAAAATGTCCCTTTGCAAAATGTTTTATAACTGTTGGTGGTAATAATGTGTCTAGTGTTTTTATTATTAGATCTTAATGACTACCTTTTGTAAAGAACACATTATTATATCTCATGGCATCTCTGCTGAGACTGAGGGGTAAGAATGTCTTGCCCATTGTCACAGCCCCACAGGCTCCTGGCAGAGCTGGAAATAGACCTGGTTTCTTGACTACCAGTCTCTTGTGTGATATCAGTAGACTACATGGGAGTTGTGTGCATATGCAGTTGATAGGAAAGTCAGGCCTTTGTTCACTATTATGGATTTCCTTATAAAAGCTCAAGCAGTGCCACCTCTTGGTTTTTGTGACTTGCAGATTCAGTCTTGGCTAAAAATGTGCCTGGCAAGGAAAGCTTATAGGAAACGGCTGCAGTATTTCAAGGATCATGTAAGTCTCTTTCTCCTTTTTTGAATCAAGAGTACTAATGTAGTAATAGTATAACTGAACATATTGGATTCTATGATGTCTTTCTGAATAAAACATTTTTAATGCAAGGTATTAAAAGTTCTTCTACTTATACCTATGCTGGAAAAATCTCTGTCCTCCCAACAGAGATCATGAATCGGCATTAGAGAATTTTTGTTCGATGTTTTCTAACTGTTTTAGTCTCTGTGTTTTCCAGAATGAAGAAATTGTAAAAATACAAGCATTTCTTAGAGCAAATAAAGCTAGGGAAGACTACAGAACACTAAGTAAGTGCTGTTTACCTAAAGTTAAAATGTAAATGCAAGAGAAGCATTTTCTTGTAACTTATGATCTTGAGTCTTGTATCCTTAAGTTTTCTCCATTGTTTCTTCAAAAGCATGCAGCTGAAATTCCCAAGTATAGCATTTATTAACAGTGTGATTTTAACTTTAGTTAGAGCTACTGTTCATACTTCAGTGTATTTACACACAAGTTGAATTACAAGTTATTCTTGCCCTCAATAGCATAAGCGTATCTTCATAGTTTAAAATTGTACAGTTGCTACAGTGGCATCAGTGGTCAGAATACCACACTGGTATTTTTGCAATGTTACATTTTTATGCATTTGGCAAGTAAATAATGAACTCATTTACTTACCTACAGTTGGGGCTGAAAATCCACCCCTCAATGTCCTACGCAAATTTGCTTACCTCCTTGACCAAAGTGACTTAGACTTCCAAGAAGAACTGGAAGTAACAAGGTTAAGGGAGGAGGTTGTTACAAAAATCCGATCCAATCAACAGTTGGAAAAAGACTTGAACTTGATGGATATAAAAATTGGACTGCTGGTGAAAAACAGGATCACTCTGCAGGTCAGCAAGCTTTATTCAAACTGTTTTCATGGTGTGCATTAAAGGTAGTGGAGTTCTGAACTCCCAAAGAATGCAGGATCAGTTAAGATATTCCTGGGAAGTGGGAAGCCTCTTTTTCTCTGCTTTTTTTTTATATTGTGCAATCTTTGCTATAAAAAATTACTGCATAAAATTAGCTGGACTTTTACACTAGTACAAGTGCTATCATACTTTTCCTTTTGCTGAATACCAGTTTTTTAAATCTTAAACGTGGGTACAGTTTTGTTAGGTTTTAAGCTCCTTTCCCACAAGAGAACAGATCTGATGTTCCAGTTTTCAAACTCACTATGAGAAGTTTTTCTCTTTTTTTTTAGGTAGAGCCCAAAGCTGAGCTGAAATGTCCTTGACAGTCATCATCAGGGATCCTGGTGTTCTATGATTTAAAAATTGCACACTCTCTCTCTCTTTTTTTTTAAGAACCCCAAAATCCACAATTAAAACAAAACGAAAAGCTGTCACCCCCCCCGCCCCCCCCAGCCCTGCTGGAGGTGGCCCCCAGCTGCCAGGGCTATGGGGCCAGGGACCCGAGTCCACAGCCCCCTGCCCCAGACCAGAGCCTGGCTCTTCCCTCTCCCCCCTCACTACCTGCCTGCTGTGGATTCGGGGACAGCTGAGGACTGGCTGCATGCACTCTTGGGGGAGGGGCAGAGGAGACATGTGCCCCCCAGATCTGTGCCTGGGGCGAGTGCAGGCTGCCTGCTTTGGGCTTGGGCTCGGGCTCCTGCCTTGCTGCCCTCCCTTGGGGCCTTTGCAGCCCAGTGGGTGTGAACTGGTGCTGCAGGGAACAGTGGGCCTGCATGGGGAAGTTTGTTGCCACTGCAACCTCCGTGTGGCAGCAGTGAGGGGCACAACCCCACGCTGTCACACATGCAGGGGACAACTTGCTGGGGCAGTGCAGAGCTTGCAGCAGCAGGCAGCTTCTCTGCATGGCCCCACTGTGCTCTGCAGTGCCGGGTCACACAACTGGGCTATGGAAGTCCCATGGGAGGGCAGTAGGGTGGGGAGCCTGAGCCCACAATGGAAAGCACGTTCCTGCCAGCCCCCGCCCCCCTGCTGCCTCCCCAATTTTGTGCACGTGTTGCCAGGTAGCTGGCCTCACCGGCCCCCGGACAAGATGCCTGCAGCCCCATCCCACCTCCTGCTGGGGCCCTGCAACTACACATTACGGCCCTAAACCCCACGCACAGGCCAGCTAGCCAGCAGCCCCAGCCCTGCCCAACTCCCTCTCTCCCTATGGGGGCCCAATCCCACCCTCACTTAGCTGTAGGAGCTGTTCTCCAGGCTGCCTGGCATCCATGTGCATATATGTGCACATGGTGCCCCCTGCCTGACCATCCTTTTCCTGCTCCCTCCCACTTCCTTGCAGGGTAGAACTCTGCCAGCCTGCAGAGAGCTCTTTGCAAAACTGCAAAATCCACAGGTTTCTCCATTTCAAATGAGAAATCCGCCTTTTCCTCAGGTAAAGGGGAAAAGCCATGTTTTTCTCCGTTTTCCCATGGGAAATGGAAAACCTGGATTCCTGGTCATCATTCTCAATCCACATAGCCATTCTACTGAGCAACGTACAATACCAAAAGCTTAAAATACTAGTTAATAACTAGAGCAGCAAAAGATGCTAAATTCTGCTCCACCCAGTAACTTGCCTGTACACAAGCACAGAGGCTGGTTCAATTTTTGTGTCTGCCAGAGTATGCTAATTTTAAAAAATTACCCCCCTACACCCTCCAGATAAGCTGCCCGCAGCTCTATCCCACTCCCAGTGGGGTTGCCTTCACTACCTTGGCTGGGCAGTGTCTGGCCCTGCCCACTCCTCCCTTCACCATGGAGGCACTAATCTGTCCCTTCCCCCTCCCCCCCCAGCTTATGAACCAGATGCTGCTCTCCACACTACTAGGCTGCATTCCTGTCCACATGCATGCTGTGCCTGCACCCACCAGTTATTGGTGATGTTATTGGCTATACCAGCCAAAAAAGTGGTGCAGGCAACTGTGGCACTGGGAAGGGTGATTTACGGGGAATTTTGGAGTGGTTGTAATCCATTCTGTAGCCACCCACCCCTCCCAGCGCCACTGATGCCACCCACATTCGAGCATAGCCCCAGCCCAGCCCCCCAGCTGGAAAGGCTGCTGCAGCCCCTGCCCCAAGCCTACAGTGGGTGGCCCACCCTCACCCCATGCACAAATCCAAAGGGGCTTATGCCACCCATGCCTCCCTTGGGGTGCACACAGTGGTGGGGAGCTGCCCCCACACTCCCACAGATAAGCTGTGGGTGCTTCCATCCCAGTTCTGGCAGGGCCTCCTTCACCACCATGGCTGGGCAGTGCCTGCCCCTGCCCCACTCCTTCCCTCTGCCCCACTCCCTCCCTTCACCATGGGGATCCGTCTGCCCCCCACGCCCTTTCCCTCCACAGGCTTACCAGTCAGGCATTGCTCTCTACACTACCGGGCTGGCTGTATGCTGGCTGCAGCTGCGCACAGGCACTCAGCACTTATCAGTATTATTACCAGTCATCTACACCAGCCAAAAAAAGCCGATTGCCAATTATGTTAACTTTCCTTTTATCCGTTTCATTTGGATATGTGACTAATATATCAGTGCACCTCTGGTGTGAGCATGTCTCCTTAACATAATACGTTGTGTAAATATAAAAAACATTGTTCAAATAGGAGACTTCAACATATGAGTGAGAAGCTTTGCATAAATACATTTGGCTTTTGTGTAAATACATTTCCTGTACATTCATTTATGTCTGCAGGATGTGGTGTTGCACAGTAAGAAGCTAAACAAAAAAAGCAAAAATCAGGTAGAAGAGATGGTGACAGGTGACAAACATGGTATCAAAGGGTTGAACAAAGAGAGGAGAAAAAAGCTGGAGGCCTATCAACACTTGTTTTATCTTCTACAGGTAAGTCTCAATGTGGACGTTAACCAATCCACAAATGGCACATGCCAATAAAGCTTTAAAGGATGTTCATAGCTTGTTGGTGCCAACATTTCTGTAGAATGTAGAGTACCATACAAACCAGATATGAGCTCTGCCAGCCAACTTTGTTCATTGGATGATTATTGTTTTAAGTGGACTTTACCACTGAATGCTGCATAGTTCAAATTTGATCCCCTAATAAAAAAATCACCTCACTATCATTCCACTTTCCAGGAAATAATATTGCTGTTATGTTCCTTTAAATTGTTGAAATTCCTGACATATTTATGTAAATGTCTGTTTGTCTGTTCTTGTTTGGTTTTGTTTCCCTTCCTGATGTTTCCTTTCCCTTCCCACCTCTACCTAGTCAATTCAGTTTGCAAGCATAATTCAGCTTCTAGCTGGAAAATATTCCTGGTTTTTCCAGTGATAGCCTTTTAAACTGGCTTAAGTGGATTTATGACTTCCAAGTGAATTTGGTTAAATCTTAAATGAAATTACTCTCTGTGCAGCGAATAGTAGGGTAAGATTTTAACCACACAATGTGTGACTGTCATCTTAATGCCCAGTATATATTTGCTGTCTGTGGCTGCATCCAGATGAGTGAGATGGGTGTTGTTTTAACCCCAGAAGATCCTGGAGTCAAAAATACCTGCATGAAAAAAGTGGGGCGGCACACACCACCCAAAACCAGAGTCTGGCTGGCTGGAGTCATGCTCCAGCTGCCCACCAGTTTCCAAGTGGCAGGATTGGCATGGCTGCAGTTCCCCAAGGCCCCCAGAATCCCCAGGTAAGGCTGCTGGAGCCAGCACAGTTGCTGGCCCCAGCCTCCCCTACCCTACCTGGGGTAACCTGCCATATGCCAGAGGGTGTGTGGCACAGGCATTCCTTGGGGACAAATAGCAGCAGCTCAAGGTGTGCTGCTGCTTCTTGTCCCCAGGGAAACAAATATCCTGTCAGTCTGAATTTGGGTGAAGCTTTTTTAGAAGAAACACATCTGCCCGGGGAGAGATGTCACCCACCCTTCACTGTGCCTGTAATATACACAGAATTTCCTTTTCCATCAGATGCCTTAACTCCAAAGGAAGTTTTTGGTGTTTTGTTTTTTTTTTTAAACAACCGTTTTCGCAAACAACCAAACTTGAAACATTTTTTATATCTCCCAAGTTTTCAATATATGATAGTCCTTTAAAATAAGACTGTACATTTTATTCTAAGAAATTTCAACTGATAGCTTAGTAACACTACAGTACATCCAAACCTGAATTCATACTTCCATTTTGTGAAAGATTTACACGTATGTTATATAAAGAAAAAGGTACTTTACTAGACTTGACTTCTGTCTCAAGAACTGAAAAGTGAGTAGATTCAGCATGGTTGCTGCAAGTAATGGGGAAGAACTGTTTTAGAAATATATACAAATGACTCTCAAATATTTCTCTCCTAGACTAATCCCACATATCTGGCTAAGCTAATTTTCCAGATGCCTCAGAACAAGTCAACCAAGTTTATGGATACGGTCATTTTTACTCTGTACAATTATGCCTCTAATCAACGAGAAGAATACTTGCTTCTCAAGCTCTTTAAAACTGCTCTAGAAGAAGAGATAAAGTATGTATATTGCTTAGGAGATTTCACTTAGCCTATCTTGAGAGGAATGTAGTTTGTGCTCTGTATTTGAAAAAAAAAAAAAAAAAAAAAAGAAACTCTAAAAAAAAATAAATTTCTCCAACAAATAAAAATACAAGATTTGGCTTCAATTTTAAGTGGTGTTTGGGATTTATTTGCAAATGAGAAGTCTATAAATGGCACTGTTGGTGATTCTGTAACCATGATAGCTCAGGAAGTATGCACAAGACAAGGATTTTTGGGGGTTGATATCTTGTGTTGGACCAGCTGTGTGGTTGGAATATTTAGACAAGCTTTCAAATGCAAGACATTCTTCATCAGGTCTGCAGATGGAAGCAAGCACAGTGAATGTTAAGAATGCTAATACCTACAGCATGTAGGAAGAAATTTGGATTTGGGGAGATTATGATGCATCAAAAATTGATATTGTTCAGTCCTTGATTCTTAGTATCCAGCCAGGTTATGAATTGTTGTTTCCAAATGCTCCTTTTAAAGGTGTTTGGTATCTGAGGGCCAGACTGTAGATTATAAATGCCATGCCTTAAACTCAAGGGGTTTTTTTAGTAAAGAAACAAATCTGTATAACAATTGAGAAATGGTATTTATATTTTCTAAAGGCAGTTTCATTGCTTTTTCTACCTGAAAACAAAGTTGAGTTTAACAAATGGTTTGTTTGCTTGCTGTTTCTTCACACGCATGTAATTTAAATACCTCAAAAGTAGAGGGTAACGGCTCGTTCTATAATAAATTGAAATTACTTTTGTATGCTGAAATGTATGCCGTTGAGTTTTATAAATGCATTTCGGGGATAGTTCTACGTTTTGATCTTTTAACTCAGCTCATAGGCTGCATAACATCTGTACGTTGTTGAATTTTGATATGAAAAAATGGAACCAACTTAGGCCTCTGATTTAATTCATTAAGAACAATTTTAAGGAAAAAAAAACTTTAAGAACCTGACAGATTTCTTTGTTTTGTTTTTTGGTCTTGTTTAAGTTAAGCACTGGATAATTATTTACGCAGCTTACAAATGAGTATTGTTTTGTTGTTAATGCAGTTCCAAAGTAGACCACATACAGGATATAGTAACTGGAAATCCTACGGTCATTAAGATGGTTGTCAGCTTTAACAGAAGTGCTCGTGGACAGAATACTCTGCGTCAGCTTTTGGCACCAGTGGTAAAGGAAATCATGGATGATAAATCTCTCGTCATCAATACCAGCCCTGTGGAAGTATACAAGGCTTGGGTAAACCAGTTAGAAATGCAGACAGGGGAGGCCAGGTACTATATCATCTTTATTCTGTTGAATATTTGAGGGATTCTGTTCTCTGTCTCTCTCTGTCTCTCTCTCTAAGAATCCTACTTACCTTTCCCACAAGCAACCAAGGAAGCATAGGTGGCAGTATGCTTGTGAGATTTCACTTTAGACTAATATTGGGAAGTCTAAATAAATTACTTTGCTCTGGCTTATTACATATCACTTATTTTGTAGCACTCACAAGAATAATAATCTTGGGCCCCAGAGCCTGCAATCAAATCCGTTAGTGCGGACTCGGCCACGGTCGCAATGCCCTTGTTGACTTCTTCTTTACAAAGCTGTCTTAAAGATGCAGACATCCATGGGAATGATTGAAAATGCTTTCTTCTTGTGTCTGAAAGAGAACAGATTACATGGGGGGGGCGGGGGGGGAAGGGGGGTTGTTCCACAAAACATGACATCTGTTTGGTTTTTTTTAATTAAAAGCACTGGTGGTTTACAGATGAATTAGAATTACTTGTTCACTTGACATTTTTCTTAAGACTGTACAGTATTAGTCTGAGTGCTGTTGTTTTTCAGAGGTTTTATGAATTTCATTTGCAGTCTCAATAGCTTGCTTTTGAGACTGCTAGCTTGCTCAATAGCTTAGTTGATACTACTTTTGTATTTGCAGCAAGCTGCCATATGATGTAACAACAGAACAAGCATTAACACACCCAGAAGTTATAAATAGACTGGAATCATCCATTCAGAGTTTGAGAGCAGTTACTGATAAAGTCCTTGTGTCCATATTCTCATCTCTCAATCTGATGCCGTAAGTGCTGAGTTATGAGTCCAGTAACTTCAGTTCATTTCTACAGTAATAAAATGTCAGGATTCAGTGAAAATGATCAATCCTTCCAAGTCATCTGCACTGCTTTGTGTAACTGTCCTTTTCTTGCCTTTTCTAATGCAATTCTCCAGCAGATGGAGCAATTTCTCTGCATCACACAATCCAAACAGCATGCATCTAGTGAGCCTTTGTAATGTAAATTGTTTTATTTTCCATTATCTTCTAAATTTGTGTTTATGGTTAATGTCTCTTAAGTCATTAAAACAGTATCTTGGTTGAGTGGAATGATTTGTTTGTTTTATTTAAGTCTTACCCTTATTTTCCTTTCTCATCTAGTTATGGAATGAGGTATATAGCCAAAGTTCTGAAGAATTCGCTCCATGAGAGGTTCCCAGATGCAACAGAAGATGAGCTATTAAAGGTAGATGAATGAGGGTGGATCTATTGTTAGTTTATTTTTGTCTATACCAAAAGGGAGATTTATTTGCATACTAGCTTTGTGAGGAGTTGTGAACAATTTTATAGTTGTAAAATGAGGCTTTTGGGAGGGAGATGAGAGAGAATCATGTGTTAATATGCCCTGACGTTTTGATAAGTGATTCTGATCACATGCAATTGCTGTAAAGTCAGTGGCATAGCAACATTAAAATTGTCACTGGTACTTGGTTGAAAACTATAAGCATTTGATCCATTGCTTCAGTAGCAGTCTTTTTATGAAGAATGTGATGCTAGTTTCATAACTATTATGAGGTTAAATTAGATAATTGAAAAGCCATTTAAAGTCATGTTGTATTAATATTGCATTTTAAATACAATGGATAGATTTGTAAGAACAGTGAGCTGATCCTTCCAATACACTTGTTTAAGATGCTTGTAAATTGTGAGAATATTAGACTTCTAGAATGAAAAATTAGTTACGTGGCATAAGAACATTTCTGGTACAGTGTCCTTTGTTTAGTCTATCATGGCCACCATTTCCTTGAACAACAATCTAAAGTTACTCCAAGTGCCTGCTGTGCACCTACAGGATTTCCTATTGCTTGAGTTGGAACCCTGTCAATATCAGGATTACATTTTAAAAAGTAAAGCTTTGAAATGCAATAGACCTAAAACTACAAGGTATTCACTTAATTAAGATTTTGTTTGGTGCCATTCAAAAAAGCATTCAGGGTTATAGCTTTTGTGTGGAGCCATTGTGAATATTGAGTTCCTCAGCTCTAAAGTGCATTACTTACTATTTAAACAATATGCTAATATTTTATTAACACTATTTACAAAGATGTCTTTGGTCATTACTCCACTCCAGTGCCTGGCCATCATGAGGAAGGAACACAGTTTTAGAAACTCTCTAAAAATTGCCTTTAAATGGATGGTAAAGTGATGCTGCTATAAGGCTGCACACCTTCCCCACTGACCAAGAGACTGCCTAATTACATTCAAAAGCCAAATGTTCCAGAAGTGACTGGAGACGAGCTGTAGTAGACTGCCAAAGCAGATAAACTCCAAAGATCAGGAGTCTCTCACTTCCGGGTCCCTAATCCAGAATTTTAACTCTTGGAACAGCTATTTGGTGACTAAAAGGAGCTTCCAAAATCTTATTAAAATATCCAGAGCTAAATCCAGCAGTTGGAGGCAAATAGGATTCAGGATGAATTGGCTCAGACCTGAGCTCTTTTGAGAGAACTCGGAAGCAAACCTAGTGAAGCAAAGAAAATCAGTTGTGTGCTTAAGTGACGCTTTATGGCTGAGGGCAGGTGAAATTCTGAACCCCAAGCCTCTGGGCTTGGCCCGGCACATAGGATCTCCGCCAAAAGACTGGAAATATCTGAAGCCCGTGGTGAGGGTTAAAGATGTTTGCCAGTTGTAAGGCTGCTTATGGTTCTGGACTGACTTGTAGATTTGGCTGGCTTGGCTTGGACACACGAAAAATTTCTTTTAAAAACAAAAACCCTGTTGCTACCCAAGATAGACAGCTTTATTCTGAAACTGTGACCCTCCAGGGTAAACCTGAGAACTCTACACAACTCCAACTCAACAGCAAAAGTACCACAATTGCCCATCATATTGGTACTTTCAAGGGCAGGATTTGCAAGCCCTGAGAAATGGAGGAGCTGCTTATTGAAAATGCTCTGCATTTAGAGAAGCTGTGAGACTTTGGAATGTGCAAGATTACTCAATTGCTCTTCTTTGTTTGTGGAGGAGGGGAGGCATAATTGATCCCTCTAGAAAAAAAACAGAACCATCTCAAGTAGAATAGAACCTCTATTTTGGAGTTAAAAAATTAGATAAACTTGCACTTTCATCTGCGTTTTCTGCCTTCAGTTGGGATATCAAGTAGAAATTCCATAAACGTGTCCTTACGGTATTTGACTAGAGTGAAAACCAGAATGTACTAGAATTGTATCTTTCTCACTTGAGTTGCTCTTTGCAACAACTTTTTTGGGGGTGGAGGGTGCGGAATGGAAGTATACTTGGAGAAGTCCCTAAAATATTTTTCCTGTAGATTGTTGGAAACCTCTTGTACTATCGCTACATGAACCCAGCCATTGTTGCCCCTGATGGTTTTGATATCATTGACATGACTGCTGGAGGCCAAATACATTCTGATCAGAGGAGAAATTTAGGTTGTGTGGCAAAAGTCCTTCAGCATGCTGCTTCTAACAAACTCTTTGAAGGAGAGAGTGCCCATCTTTCATCTATGAATGCTTACCTGTCACAGACTTACCAGAAGTTCAGGTACGCAAAACTCATACAGATATTTGTACAATGCAAACTGGTAGGTAAAGCAGATGAACTTTTGCCTGAAGAGGATTGAACAGATTAATAAAGATTGTGTTGTAGCCTAAAAATCCAGAGGTATATTCTATTCTGCCTTATTCTGCAATGGGAAATAATATAACATATTGTTTTGGTGCTGAATAGTATTCTTCAGCATTCAGTTTTTCACATTAGATTCTCTTTATGCCAGTGAATTTCATGAGCCAGATTAAGCCATTTCTTACATAAGACAAGACAAGTAATGTTTTCTTCTCGTAAACAACATTGAACCTTTTTTTTTTCTGTCTGGTGGCTGAGAGAAGACAGCGTTTCTCAGCCCTAGGGAACTGGGTTTTTTTAACCTCTGCCGTTTCAGTTGATGGAAACAATTGTAGGATATAGACTTTTTTTCCACAAAAATACTGAGCTGCTAGGTGAAGTGCAAAATCTCTACATGGAAGTTCTTTGTTTGGAATTCATGTTCTTTGCTTCTAATCTTTTTGGGCAATTATAATAAGGAAATTGAGGAGGTATGTTGTTCTATTTTTAAATTCCCATTTATTTTGTTTTATGAGGGCTGCTTTTTATGAAAACCTTTTCATGAACTGTTAATGTGATATACTTCATTTAGAGATCAGCCATGAACAAGGTTACTAAATCAATTGTTAACCATTCAGTCCACTTCCTGCATTATTAAGGTAAGGTGGGGGGCATACATTTGTATATACAAGAGAACAGAGCTGAGAAAAAGTTTAATAGGGGGAAGAAAAGCAAAGGCAGATAAAGCACATCTTAATTTTTGTTTTTTTCATTACAAAAAGAAAAACTGACTCTCAAGGTACCTCCTTGATTTAAAATTATTCTGTTTATAAGAACATTAAATGATTTTCATTGTTAAATTAAGGTTTGCACGAACAATAAACAGAGTAGTAGTTTTCAACCTTTTTGTCTTGAGGTACCCCTTCTGGAACTTGAGGCTTGTTCTTAGTTTTTCACTCGTTTTGACCACAGAAAGCTAATAGAGCAGGTTTTCTGTTGCAAAGAACTTTGTTTTTAACACTATGCACCCCTAACTGAAATATCTGGGTCTATCTTGTGAACCGTGTTTGCCCCCTAACAATGCTAATGTGACACCCTGTAGCACCCTTGAAAGGAACTCGCAGCACCTAAGTTGAGAATCACTGATCTAGAGGCACTGTTCCTTCCTTTGGAAATTCTAGATGTCTCTTGTTCACATACACATTAACATTGTAACGTACTTTCTTTCCTTCAACATTCCTACACCTATGAACAATCCAGCTCTGATGCATTCCAAACATGCACAATTTTTGAGCCATTTAAACATTTCAGGGGTCTGGAGGAGTCATGCAGAGATCTAATGTACAATTATTGATTCTTCTAATTTTTTTAATTAATGGGCCTCAAGTAGCCACTTTACAAAGCCCTGTTCTTCATCTCTACTGAAAGATTATTTTTAATTCAGTTTCTAGGTTGGATTATTTAGAACATCTCAACAAGCTGGCAAATAATTCTTGCTCTCTACATCATAGTTTAAAATTTTTTTTTTAAACTTTAGAAGGTGACAGTTCTGTTCACCCTGGGAGGGTAGTTGCAATTTAGCTATTCATACATGCTCATGCTGCTTCTGACTTTTGTGTCCTGCAACCTCATTGTAGATTTCAAATTAATGTTCAATCTAAAATGTTATTTCTACAAACAAAAATTTGACTTCAGTCTTTTTACATAAATTACATAAGCTTAGTGAGTCTATTTAATGTTTCTTTCTTACTTTTTCTTAGAAACTTTTTTCAGGCTGCATGTGAGGTCCCTGAGCCAGAAGAGAAATTCAATGTTGATGAGTACTCTGACATGGTGACATTGAGCAAACCTGTCATATACATTTCCATCGAAGAAATTATCAATACACATTCTGTAAGTGAATATGAATAAATTTGCCCACTGATGTACTGTGTGAAAATAACTACAGGAGCACCTGTTCATAGTGAAATATTTGAGCAATTTTCTGTTCAGTCTGGCACTTCCTGTCAACTTTCCCAACATTTTGGGAGGGAATTAGTTATGATTATTTCACTAGCAGAGCATCTTAGTTTTCAAATGTATGCTTTAGAAGCTCAGAACCAAATGTCTGAATTTTTATTTAAATATACTGTGCAAAATGAAGGGAAGAGGGCTTTTTCTCAAGGTGGAAAAAAAGGAGTAAGTTTAAGTAGTTTGTGACTTTTTGGAAGAAAAGAAAATCCTTATGTTTTATGACTTTGCATTTCTTAATGCTATGTTGGAAGCAAATACAAGAGCTTGATTTAGGAGGACAGTAGTATCCTGTGAATAGTATGTTCTGGATAAGGAACAGATGAATTGTAGAAACTTCCATTTATACCATGATATATCAAGACATAATATAGATGTAGACCATATGGCCCTGTCAAGCTTCATATACTGTCAGCTAAACATTAGCTTACAAAAATCCTAAAATGTTCAGTAATTTATCTTTTTTAAATAAAAAAGCAAACATGCCCAAAAAAGGAGGGGCAAACGTGAAAAAAAAAATGGGGAGGGGGGGCTTCAACTCCCAAACTAGCAGATTTAAATTTTTTTCCCATATGGAAACTGTTTAGTCTACCATAAAACAGTTTCTGCTAGTTAAGTAATGCTTATCTCTCCATTTGAATTTTAAGGCCTAGGGTTTCCATTTTTCTCATCTGTTCGTCTCTTCAAATTTGTGTCCTTCACTGAATTCTTCTCACTCCTTCAGCCTCCCCCACCTCAGCTTTCTTCAGGGGTTCATGTGGCTTTGTTCTTGACAACCCTTCTCCCTCTCCAGCATATCCTTGAGTAACCTTATCTACAAATACACATTCAGTTGACCTCTCAATGCTAGCAACTTGCAGATATATCCCTTGTCTATCTTCACATCTGACCATGACCCATCAGGATAATTAGTACAGTTTCCTTGAATTTTTTGAACTGTCTCTTGTCTTACATGTAGCTCTTTGTGGACAAGACAACACAACACATAGGTATGGTTGAGGGCCTCATATGCTAGGGCTCCAAGGCCGTATGATAGCACACCTGGTAAATATCGCACATTATACAATTCAAAAACACTTATGCACATAAGACTGGAGGAAAGTTTTAAGAAAAGAAAGTTGCAATTATGCACCCAACTGCTATTTATGTTTTTAAACATTTCAAATCTTACTGTGGCCTGACTTCCTAGATACAAAAGCTGCCTTTACATTTCCAATGAACTGTGACTTTTGGTTGAATGAATTATGACTGGTACTTGGAAAGAGCTGGCATTTCTAGGATATTGTCAAGTAGAGCATGCGTTTGCTATAGTTAAATTTCAGTGAATTGCACGACTTCGGTCATCTTTATCTTCTTTATTTGGAAATCTCTTCTGTGGAAAATAGGCCATAGGAGCTAACAAATATGAACAGAGACATCTTCATTGTTATCAAACTGTCTGCATGATGTCACTTATTTCCTGAAGCAAAGGCGAGTGGTGAGTGTAGAAAATGACCAGTCTAGTTACAGGAAATACATACTTCTGGTCCCACCATTCATGCTTCTTTTATAATTTAGTGTATGTTTACAAGCTTGTTCTCAGGCTCTTTATGGCCTGTGAAACCATTCCTCCTTTGACCTAGTCAGCTGAAGTAAATGTTATGATATGAAGAAGATCCTGTGTGCTTCCTATGACTTGGGTGTTTACTAAAATCCCTAAGTTTAGCAAGACAAATATGAGTAGTTGCTTCTGAAAGCTTCCAGTGATACTGTCTGTCTGCTGTTCAGAAGAAATACAGTAATAAATAACGGCAGTGCCTGAAATGTCACTCTGTATGGCATAATATGCCTTAACCCTACCCTGAAAAGTCCCCAAACAGTACGGTCTCCTTGTACATTGAGACAGAATGCCAAGAAATGCCAATGCCTGAGGAAGGGTTTGTGCCCAAAAGCTTGCCAAAAACTTTTTTCCCCAACTATTTAGTTAGTCTAGTAAAAGATGCATCACATCTACCCAAAGAACCTTGTCTAACTATGTAAGAGGTAGGTTCTTTTAGTGATATCCCTTACTGGTCCAACTATACAGTAAAAGATGTCACCAAAAAGCCTTTACTTTTCACATTTCATGGGCCTTAGTGGTTAAACAACACTCCAACCCTACAGTAAACCTACTGCCAGTTCAAGTATTGAACAGAGAGTGGGGCAAACATTTGCTGAATAGAAATAATGCATCTAAACATAGTCTGGAAGTTCAAACTATATTTTTTTTCTTCTGTCCTCCATAGCACTTATTCATACAGTGAATCTATTGTGGCTCTGTTGGCATTTTTCTGTGAGAACATATTAGTTTCTGGGAAATGGTGTGTTGAAGATGATGATTTTCTGATTTGCATTTGTTCACAGCTACTATTAGAACACCAGGATGCCATTGCTTCTGACCAGAATGACCTACTAAATGAATTGTTGGAGGGGCTGGGACCAGTTCCTGATGTAGAGTCTTTTCTTGGTAAGATCCTGCTCTTCCCCCTCTTCCTTTTAGGGTACATTCAGAAGTGCAGCTCCGGAAGCATCGAAACAACAATCCCTCCAGACCAAACAGAAGTTCAATGTTGGTTCCAGGAGGAAGGGAAATCCTAGCTGCTGCCTGGAGCCTGCAGCTGGTTTCTCCTAGCAACAGCCCCTCCTCCCGCTCCCAGCCTGTCCCTGATTTCAGAGTGGGGAGGAGGGAGAAAGCAGAGAGAACTTGTTCTAGGGGTTCCCCACCCTCCAGCAGTGGCTGAAAAAAACCCAGACTGAACTCCCTTCATTCCCTCCCCTCCCTGAAAACAGCTCAGAGGTTGGGAGGCAGGTCAGACACAAGTTACAGAAGATACTGTTTTGAAACATCGTCATCTGACTCCTTCATGCAATGAGGGTTCAGATTTTTGCCCTGCTGGCAATTTTTGAAGTGGTCTGAAGCTATGCACTTGTTTGCTCATGGCTATAGACCACTTTCTTTGGCCAGTTCGGGTGAAAATTATCACTTCTGTCTGCACCCTTAGTAGGTTGTGGTTTGCAACCTTGTTAGACTCCAGGGATCCCTCTCAAAATGCCTGCTTGAGAATTAGTTATCTAAATAACAGTGAACTAGGAAAAAGATAGCATGCATTTGCACATGGAAATTTTGAAGAGCAAATCTGTGGACATGTGCTTTGAAGACAGAATCTGTGCTGGAAATCTCTCTTGGTACTTGGAGGTGTACTTGGTAGCCATGTTGGTCTGAGACAAAAAGACATGCGAAAAACTAGAACTCTTGGTTCCAACATGATACCTTTTAGAACAACTGGAAAATGGCAAGAAAATTTTCCTTTTCTGCAAGCTTTCGGGATCAAAGTCCCTTTGTCAGGCTCTGGGAAAAGTGTAGATGGTACAAGATGGTAAAAAGTCCCCATTGGTAGGAAATAAATTTCATTTTTGCACAGAGGGAGCTGAAGATGGAAGTCTGTTCCTCTGGGTCCATGAGAGTGTCTTTGTGAGCTGTGTTGAGTAGCTCTTTGTGTTGATCAGGTAGAATTCCTTCCCTGGAGATGTCAGATGGCAGGCAGGGAGGCAAGAAATCCTTCTTGAGGTTCTGCAGTGAAGGTTAAAATCCAAAATCAGCTAAAATTAGTACTTGAAGTCTCCCACCAAGGTATATAAATAGACTGTTTGTACTGAAGTTATTTGTGTAGATCACATGCTGTGAAATACCCTTTGTCTTTTTCCAGTGTTTTGGTTTGTGAAACAATTTATCACAAATCACCAAACTGACAGGAAGAACCTTAAAACCTCTTTCTTTTTTTTCCCTCCACCCTCCAGGGGAAGGCACTGTTGATCCCAATGATCTTAACAAGGAAAATGCTTTGAGTCAGCTTGCAAAGACAGAAATTTCACTTTCTCTGACCAGTAAATACGAATTACGGGAAGGAGAAGACCAAGATCTCAAAAGTCTGATGATAAAGTACGTGTTGCTCAAAATGCGTATCCTGGGCAATGTTTTTGTTAAATTACTGCAGTTACTTGTTCTGATGATCACAATGGTCTTTACGTTTTTAAAGTCTATCTCATTTAGATGAGTAATCCTTTTTTTGGACTGCCTGCCAAATTTTGTAGTGTGCGCACCAGTGGCAGCACTTGGCTGTCTTGGGCCCTGGGCTCCAGCCAGAGCCCATGCTGACATACCAGTGAGTTCAGAGTTTTCATGGAGCCCCGAGCCTAGGAGCTGAGCACTGCCCCTGCTCATGGCCTCTTTTTTTTTTTTTTTTTTTTTTCCTGCTGCTGAATTCAGTGGGAGGGGCAAATGATAGCAGCACTTAGCACCTGCATTCTGGAGTTGCATAAAAGCACTAGCATGCCAGCAGGGGCTCTGGTTAGAGCCACAGCTTTCCTGCAGCTGGAGCTGCTGCTTGTCATGTTTTGTTTTTTTTCCCTGCAGCTGAATTCAGCAGGGGAGAAAGGGAGGGGGCAATCAGCAGCCACAGCTCAGCTTCTGCACTCCAGCCCCATGAAAACTTTGTAAGTGGAAGGAAAAAGATAGTGAAGACCTGCACTTTGTGACTACATGCAGACACTGCACAAAGCTGGTGACGGTGCCTTAAAAAAAAAAAAAAAAAAAAATTCAGAGAAAGCCGCACTGCTCAGGGGCAGAGCATAGTCCCACTCCTTCTGTGATACTAATAGGGCACTGGGAAGTGCAGGGAGCTGAGGTAAGGTACAGTGCTGCCAGCTAGGCAGTCCTGTTTCCCTCTCTCATGGGTCTGAGACCCCCTTGATCCCCCACCAACACTAGGAACCTGGAAGCCAGCCAGTTTCTTACAGGTCAGTGCAAAC